CGCGAGAAAAGCGGGTTTGGTGGGGGGCGGGGGAGCGTCCAGACTAGCGTGCTGAGCCGACAAACAGCTGTTCAGCTGTTTGTCGGCTCAGCGCGGCAGCCATGTAAATGTAAATGAAGCCGCGATCATTTAAATCACGACAGAGGCATGTAGTGTAGACGTACCCTAGGAGAAACTTCCTACCTATCAGGGTGGTTAAGCCCTGGAATAAATTGCTTAGGGAGATTGTAGAATCTCCATCTCTGGAGATATTTAAGAGCAGATTAGACAGACAGCTGTTTGTCGGCTCAGCGCGGCAGCCATGTAAATGTAAATGAAGCCGCGATCATTTAAATCACGACAGAGGCATGTAGTGTAGACGTACCCTAGGAGAAACTTCCTACCTATCAGGGTGGTTAAGCCCTGGAATAAATTGCTTAGGGAGATTGTAGAATCTCCATCTCTGGAGATATTTAAGAGCAGATTAGACAGACACCTGTCAGGGATGATCAGGTGGTACCGGGTCCTGCCATGAGGGCAGGGGACTGGACTCGATGACCTCTCGAGGTTCCTTCCTGTTTAGTGTTCTGTTCTATTCTTCTCTATTCTAATTATGTGCAAAACAGAAAGCGCTGCTCCTCTCCTGCAGACGATGCTAGGCATGCTTTGTAAATAGCTGAAGACAGTGTTTTGACCTGCAGAAGAAACTTGCTTCTTTTCTGAGGGTACATCTACACTGCTCTTTTTTTTGCAACAGCATCACACTGCTGACTCATTTAGCTTGTGGTCACTGTGGGCCCTAGATCCCTTTCTGCAGGACTCCTTCCTAGACAGTCACTTCCCATTCTGTGTGTGAACGGATTGTTCCTCCTAAGTGGAGCACTTTGCATTTGTCCTTATTAAACTTCATCCTATTACTCCCCTAGCTTTCATGTCCCCCGTGGAGCCAAACGGGTCTCTGTTGTGGGGTCCAGTTCCCTGTAATTGCTGGCCAGTGGCTCTGGCGCAGCCTTTTCCAGGCTCTGTCCCCTCTCCCAGTGGTTCTGAACACAGTGGGGGCGTTGAGCTGCAGGCCCAGTTCCAGGAGAAGCGGGTGCAGTGACAGTTACTGTAATTAAATAGGTAAAAATAATACGCTGGCGTGTAATTAAATCTCCTCCTTAACTGTCTGTTTGTCGGCCAACGGACCACCCACTTGGGTCTTTCATCTGGTACCTTTTCCATGCAGGGCAGCTGCCGGTCTCTTAGCAGCTCAGTGCCCATGGAAGCCGAAGATTCCCCAGGCCTGTGTGTATTTATCTGTTGTTTTTTGGGTACCATCTGTGCTTTCTCCCCCCTTCCAAAGTATCCCAAGCAAAGGCGCGGAGAGATTCTTATCTCCAATACTGGCCCATGGGGATGTAAGCTCTGCCGTGGCGAATGGTATCGCCTGCCTAGCACAGACGTCTTTCCATGTTGTTCGCTTTCCCTTTGGAAAGCAAGACACGCGGCATCCCCAATTCACACGATACACACGGCTCTCCCCTTGCCGGGGAGTGCATCCACAGTTCACACACACCACCTGGTTTCCTGGTTGTGCATTGCTGGAGGCAGACTGGTCAGGTTTTCGGCCACTTTTACCAGGCTGCAGTGTTCAGGCTGTGTAGGGAGAGGGGTGCTGGAAATCCGTGTTTTTCTGAGGAAAACAAGAAGAGTTGGTTGGAAAGATTTCTGTAGCTTGTAAATGCTTAAGCCAGGCTTGGCCTGACGGCCCTGGTTACTGAGCCAATGGAATTGGAACGTAACAGTCGCCATGCGCAGTCAAAATGAGCCTTCTTTTTAAAATCCTGTCCGGACGTTCTCTGGCCTCCCTCCGCTCCTCGGCCCTCGTTCTAGCCACAATCTGAACACTCCTGCGCCAGGGCCCTCTTCTCCACAGCCTCTGAAATGGCCTTTGTGCCCCGCTGGAAACTCCCTTCCTTGCTTATTTGCCTCCTGCCGCGTTGCTCCCTTCCTACCGCTCGGTTAGTTCGGTCGCCGCCCGGTGCTCTGACGCGCTCTGGAGGGACAGCGTGCGGGAAGGATGCGGTTCCGAACAGTGACTTGGCCTCCATTGTGCGTGTTGTGCAGATCATCTTGGGCATCGGCCTGGGGGTCCTCGTGATCAGTACCTACACCACCCTCTCGGTGACGGAGGACACGCCCGGGAAAACGGCAGCCGTGGAACTGACCGACCCGCTGAAAGAAGCCAAGAATGGAATTGACCCAGATTCTGTCAAAATACCAGGTACGTGTTCTGCGTCTGCCCTTCAAAGCCCCTTTTGTTGTGTGGCTGGATGCCTTTTCCAGCCCCTTCATCTCCACGGCCTCCTGAGGAGGTTTCCAAGAAAGGGCGCAGTTATCGCTTCCCAAAACGCCGCTTGGGCCCCTGCCAGCGGTGTGGCTTCTGTGTTTTGTTCTGTCGCGCGGGGGGCGGCCCGCGACCCTCCCCTAGTGACAGGACTCTGGAACTACACAAGGCCGCAATAAAAGGGGCTCTGTGCGCAGGAGACTAGAGATAGCACTGTACTGGCCACCTGTACACAGGGCCCAAGGAGCCAGAACAGGGCTGCTTTCACCATTGCTGCCAGCGCATTGTACAAGGTTTCAATAACAGGCCATTCATTGCGCTCAAAGGTATGTAAATTTATGGGCGCCGGCTTGTTTTTGGTGGCGAAGATATAAATTTGGAGCCAGTTTGAGCCCTGCCCAAGCCTGTGATTATGCTTCAGCTTTGTTTGCTGGTATGTGTTATTTATTATTTGTTTACTGGGGCTGTTGATAGAATTATGGCCTGACCTCGCTTCCACAGCTGGTTTTGCTTGGGGTTTTCTGATCTTCGGGGCTTTGAAATGTTGTGGATACTGAGAATGGAAGCGAAAAAGAAATAAAAATCCGGCTTTTCTGCTGGGGATTATACTCCCTTCTGGTCGCTGGCCCTGTTCCTGGTGAACAGCTTTGGGCAGGGGTGGGGAACTGAAGGCCCGGGAACCAGATGTGGCCCCCAGCTTGCCTGGATCTGGTCCCCAAGGCTCAGGGCCTCCTCCAGCACTGTAGAGCCCGCACTGGCGCTCCAGCCCCCCACTGCGGGGCTCGGACACAAAATCTACTAGGCTGGGCCCTCGTAGGCTCTGGTGTCGAGGGGAATGTGGGGAGCGTCGTCTTCCTCCTTCGTCAGGCACCAGGCTAGTGAGGGTTGGTGGGTTTTTCTTGTATGCGACCCTGCCTGATTTTCCTGTGGATCAGTGGCCCCCGACCCACGAAAGGTTCCCTGCCCCTGGCTTTGAGTGCCTCTAAGACCCTGGTGCTGGTTGTGATAACATTCCCTCCCGCTGCTCCGGTGTCACACCGTCAGGCTGACGGCTCCTCCGCGGCACACCGTCACTCGCCCGGCAGTTCTCAGACTGTTTTCTCGTGATCCAGTTGAAGAACGTTTTTGATGCCTGGGACCCAACTTAATGTGACTGGAGCGTGGGCTCCGGGGTGGGGCTGAGGAGGAGCTTTGGGGCGTAGGAGGGGGCTCTCCCTCCCGCTGCTCCGGTGTCACACCGTCAGGCTGACGGCTCCTCCGCGGCACACCGTCACTCGCCCGGCAGTTCTCAGACTGTTTTCTCGTGATCCAGTTGAAGAACGTTTTTGATGCCTGGGACCCAACTTAATGTGACTGGAGCGTGGGCTCCGGGGTGGGGCTGAGGAGGAGCTTTGGGGCGTAGGAGGGGGCTCTGGCTTTGAGGGAGTCAGGGCGGGGGCAGGAGGGGGTTACTTCGAGCGGCTCCCGGGCAGCGGGGGGGCTAAGGCAGCATTCTGCCTCCGCTGGCACCGCAGACCTTGCTGCGCCCTAGAAGCCACCA